TTGCCAAGCTCCGTCAGTATAGGAAGCCCCCATACCATGAGTTCCTTATGACAATAAAATCATAGGTCCATACTAGAATAAAATTTAAAAGAAAGCAAAATGGCAAAAATTTCTTGCCATGACTTTAGTGTTTTACTTTTCAGAAAGATTTCTTTACTACTTAGAGTCTCCCTATAATTTAAATAATCCACCTTTAGTGGCACAAAAATATTTCATTTCTTTTTTATATATAATTTACATTAACTTAACTGTGTACAGAGGGTTTTCCCCAGTAGAAAGTAAACTTTTATGGATGTGACCCTGTACCTAGCACAGGTCATTGCACAGAACAGGGATTTATTTACTAAATTCTTACTGGATATGGGTCACAAGATCACAGGATTTAGTGTTAGAAGGGACCTTGGTGGTTATATAGTCCAACTTATTTCTAAAAAATAATCCCTTCTATAGCACATCTGAAAAATGATATTTCATTTTGCTTAGAGAATTCCAATGAAGAGAAATCTACTGCCTCCTGAATCAGATCATTCCACTTTGGGATAGCTTTAATTGTTGGGAAGTATTTTCTTACATTGTCTAAATTTGTAATTTCCATCCTTGCTCCTAGGTCTGTCTTCAGAGGTCAAGCTGAATAAGTCTAAAACTCTTCCCACTAGAGAAATAATACAATACTTAATATAATTCAAACGCTTGGAAACTCATCCTCCTCAGGTTTCTTCACATTCCTAATCCTTCAAATGTTTCTCATGTGGCATGGATTCAGGGCCCTTCACTGTCCTGTTTGTCCTTCTCTATACAGATGTGGTCCAGTCAGTATTGAGTCCATCAGGACTATCATCACCTCTTTATTTATATAACTGAACTTATATATAGTTTCATATTTTAACATCTCTTTATAAAAATAGCTAAATATCTCAAAAGGAGGGGGGTGTAAGGGAGAAAGATTTTTGCTAATTAAAAAATTAATTAAAAATTAAAATAATTAAATATAAATAACATTAACTATCATAGAATCATAGGGATGCTAGAAATCATCTAATTTGCTGCGATAGTGTTTGAAAGAGGACTAGATTTGAAATCAGAAGGACATGTGTTCAAATCCTCATGCTGTCACATGTGTGTCCTGGGGTGAGTGATTTAACCTCTTCTGAACTCATTTTCCTTATTCTATAAAATGAAGGGTTGAACTAGATCAGGAACTCTTAACTTTTTTGTATGTCATGGACCTTTTGGCATTCTGGTGAAGCCTATGAACCCCTTTCCAGAATAATGTTTTTAAATGCATAAAATAAAGTACATAGGATTTCATAAAAATTATATTGAATACACACACACACACACACACACACACACACTCATTTATTTATTTAAATTTCAAAAGCCCGGGTTAAGAACTCTTGGACTAGATACCTTCTTCAAGCCCTAAAATTCTATTACCTTCTGAATCTGCAGGGTCAATCAATTCTTTTCAATTTTTTTCTTTTCTTTTAAACCTCTTTTTGAGATCCATGCTCTTTAGAATTTTTTTTTTTTTATTTAGGAGTGATCCCTCCCTTAATCTAGCTCCATCTTATTTTCCATTTTTCCCTCTCTCTTTTTTCCTCTGGTTTCTCTATTAAGTGAAATGTATTTCTATATGTGTGTTTATCTTTCCTCCTTTAACCAGTTCAAATGAGAGTGAGGTTCACATGTCATCCTCCCTCGTCCTTTTCATCCTGCTTGTTTATACAGTCTTCTGCTCATTCTACCACTTTATGAGATAACTTTCTTGACCCTTCTTCTCTCTTGCCCATCCCAGTATATCCCTCTTTTTCTGTTCTTCTTTTGATATCATCAGAACATTTCAAAACCACTTGCTGGTCATCTATTTTATTAGATTACCTCTGTGACCCCTGAAGATAATGTTTTGAGGAGACATATCTCATCTTCCCTTATTAGTATGTAAACAGTTTATCCTTGTTCTGTTCCTAATGATTGATCACTCACATTTATGTTTTTATGCTTCTCTTGACTTTTATATTTGTATTTCAAAGTTTCTACTTATTTCTTGTCTCTTCACTATTAATACCTGGTACTGCTCTATTTCAGTAAAGACCCATTTTTTTTCCCTTATAGGATTATACCAAATTTTTCTGGATAAGTTATTTTTGGTTCTAAACCTCTATCCTTTGCCTTCTGGAATATTATATTTTAAGCTTTCCACTCCTGTAGAGTGACTCTTGCTAAATCCTGTGTGATCTTGACTAACCCATCAGTATTTGAAATCTTTATTGTTGCTTGCAGCAATTTCCTTTGACTGAATTTTGGCTGTAATGTTTCTGGTAGTTTTAATTTTGGGGTTTCTTTGATGAAATTCTGAGTGGATCTTTTTCCTATTTTCCCTTTACCCCATTGTTCCTAGAGATCTGGTTGTTATTTTTTTTGTGGTTTCTTGAAATGTGATGCCTAGGCTCTTTTTCCTTTTTCAGCCATGGATTTCAGGTAGTCCAGTGATTCTTAAATTATCTGTCTTCCATCCAGGCCGTTTGTTTTTACTAGGAAACGCCTTGTATTTTCTTTGATTTAAAAAAAAAACTTTTGATTTTGTTTAAATACTTCTTGTATTGTCATAAAGTCATTATCTCCTATTTGGTCCATTTTAGTGTTCTGAAGGTTTGTTTCTTGGGTAAAAGTTTTTACCTCATGTTTCATGCTGTTAATTCTCTTTTCAACCCTTTCTTCCAAAGGTCTTGTTTCTTTCCCCATTTCCCCTCTAATAATCTCATTTGATTTTAAAAATCATTTTAAAACTTCAAAAAATCTTGGTTCACCTCTTCCAGGAATTCTAGTTGAACGTGCACCCAAGCTATGTTTATCTTTGAGGCTTTGCTTAAAGCTGTTTTAGAATCATTCTCTTCTAGGATTGTGTTTGTGAGAGCTATCCTGTCACCCTAATAGCTCTTTCTCATAGAATTCTATTTTGTTTCATCAATCTTCCAGTCTATTAACTGGTTTCAGGCTTTTATATGGGCCCAGGATCTGAAGGAGGGGACATCTGGACTGAAGTAATGTCCTCTTGGGTCTTTCTGCTGCTTTCTTGGGATATTGAGTATTGTCTTATTCCAGGGTCATAAGTACAGCTCAGGCTGGAGACCTGCAAGCTTTCAGTGCTCCGAGAGTTACCTGATTTAGGGCAAAATCTATTCAGTGCCTTTCTGGTCTGAACTGTGCAAGTTCATGACCTGGGTTTGTGTCTGAACAACACACCTGTAGGCTTGCTCCTAATTGTAGTTCTAGAGGACTACTGAAGGACCCAGTCACTTTCTGATAGCTGGAAAGCTTTGTAAATTCAGAGTGATAACACCACAGATTTCCCTTTGATTTGGACATACTACCCTGATTATTCCCCTCCAGGCTTCATACTGAGCTGGGAACAAGAACTGAAACTCCACTCCACTCCTTGGGTCCAAGACACAACTGTTGCTTGCTTCTGAACTCACTCATTGCTCAGTACGTGACCATGCTTTGCCTTGGATTAACATTTTTAGGTGAAGGTCTCCTCCTCAATCCCTACTGGATCTGTGACCTGCATCTGGGTAATGAGTGTTAGTTAGCAACTGGCAGCTGTTTTTATATCCTCCAGAAGGTTGGGCCCCTGTCTGGTGGTCTGGAACCTCTTCTTTTTCTACACAGGAATGCTGCTGTTTGTAGCTAGATCCCCATCCCAGTATCTCCACGCAACTCTCACTGTTTCCATATGCTGATCTAGGCTGGAAAAATTACTCATGTGATTTTTTTTCTTGTATTTCCTGATCAGGACCTGGTCTAGTACACTATTTTTTTTTGGGGGGGGGGTTGTTAGGCAATGGGATTAAGTGACTTGCCCAGGGTCATACAGCTGAGTGTCAAGTGTCTGAGACAAGATTTGAACTCGGTCCTCCTGACTCCAGGACAAGTGCTGTATCCACTGTGCCACCTAGCTGTCCCTCTAGTATACTTTCCTGATCCTTGTGAAAGAGTCCATTCCTCTGCTGTGCCGAATGTGTTATTTCTAGGCCTTGTTGGATACACCAGCAATTTTAAGCCCTGTTCCAGAGATCCAAATCTCATCTTTTAGATACTGTTTTCTTAACTACTTATTTATTTCTCAGATTTGCAATTCTCTTCTGAAATCCTTGTCTTCATTGGAAAGTAGTAATGAAAATAGGCTGTTCAGTTTCTTGGCCAATTCTTGGTAATATTTAGCAGTGCTTTCTAAGTTTCTTTGCACAGTGTCACATGAGTGAGCTGTGGTCATATGTTTTAACCTGATTTTCTTTTGGGAGGTTTTGTTATGTCTTAGATATATTCTCTGAAAAGATAGCAGACCTCTTTATTGTTATCAGTTCAACAAATAGCATTCCTTTTATCTTTTTATTTGTCCACCAGCTTGTACCTCAAGTATAACTTTTCTATGTCAGGAGTGTAAACATTACAAACACTATACAAATCATCTTAAATTCTTGCTCATTTTATCTTATTAGCACTTCGGCAACCACATTTAATTCCACTTCACCTCTTTTCCTCAGTTTTTACCACGTTTTTCTATTTGTCTTAACTACCTTAATTTATAGCTGTCTTCATCTCCTTGAGTTCCTCTATCTCTCTTCTTCTTCATCCCTCCCTTCCTGCTGGCCCTTCCTTGGGTCCTCTGGCACCTCCATCAAATGCAGCCCTCCTTCAAATTCTCTTCTGGTTCTTTCAAGTTCCCCCTCCCCAGTGGAATCTCTGCCCTTCCTCCTACTTCAAAAGCTTTCCAAATAGCTTTACAATTCCTTTGGGTACCTTATATTTTCTTTTTCATATTCATTACCATTAGATCCCTTAAGGAAAATCTGAATATAGTTTGGTTCAAATTCAAATTATAAATCAAAATTATTTTGGCTATTGTATTAATGGTTTATAGTTTTAAAATTATATATCTATGTCACATACATTTTTTGGGGAAAATAATCAGTTTTGGGGGCCTCTTTTATTTTCAGCCTTCAACAGTGTCTTAAAGATATCCAGTCAGAAGTTAACAAAAGGTGTGGTTCCGATGTTCCACTACAGACTACAAGTGACTGCCTTGAATGGTTAAATAACTACAGTTCCGGTTCACTCAAACGACCTTCCTGTTCTCATGGAGATTTGATCAAATTCTTCAAAACCTTGGTAAAAATAAAAAAAGAGAGAGATAAAAAAGTTAAAAAAAAGTATTTTTTTTGCATTAACAAAAACTTGAATTCATTGTTGTAAATGCCTTATTTATGTATGATTAGCAGCTTTACTGTAATACATTTAGGACATAATTTAAAGAAAAGTAAAAATATTTTTTCCTTATTTTCATTTGTTCCATGGGCAGAAATGAGGAGTGTAAGCTAGATATCTCCTCTAGCTTCCTCAACCCAGCAGAATTTTACACATAATAGTTTTAGTTTGGAAATAAAGATGAAAAAATATTTAATTTAGGAGCCTCAGACATGTAAAACATTTTAGAGGTATGAAAAGGTACATTTTGAAGGGTTTGTTGTTTGTTTTAAATGTTTATTTTTTGAAAGTGAGCTTATCTTGCCTATTTTCTGAACATTATAACTCAAAAACTACCATTTCCTTCACCATGTATGTTGACCCCCTTCCTACTAACATGAAACAAAACATTTCTCTTGATGTCAGTCTAGCGCAGGGGTTCTTGATCTTTTTTGTGTCAGGAGTGCCTTTGGTGGCCTGGTGACTCTATGGACCCCTTCTCAGAATAGTGCATAAAATGTGCAGGTAACAAGAAATAATTATATCAAAGTAAATTTATCAAAATGTATTTTTTAAAAACATGTTCATAACCTCAGGTTTAGAAGCCATTATCTAGAGTAAATTGCTACCATATTGAGGTACTCATGTTAAGTTGTTATTCCATAATAGTATCTCTACTTAATCTTCAACAGTTGGCATTTGCACAAGGTTGTTGGTTTTTGTTTTCCCTTGTGGTAATGTCATAATTTAACTTATGTTACATATACAGGAATATATGAAAGATGAATTTCATTAGTGTGGGGAATTCCCTTCCCCAAGGCAGATGCAGAGTACAGCTCATCTATGGTTCAGTTGCTAAATCTTAGGGAATTATCTGAGTCATGTAGAGGTTAAATGACTATCTGCCCAGAGTGCCATGGCTACTAAATGCCAAAAGGGGAATTTGAACCCAAGTCTTCCAGATTCAAACTGCTTCTTACTAAGAAGTAATGTATAATCAAATTAAACACATATAAAAGTTAGAATGTAATATGATCTAGAATTACAAAGATGTATCACAGTCCTTGTTTAATATTTTAGTTTATTTTAGCTTTTATTTTTATTTTATTTTAAAAAATATTTTAGTTTTTAAATCCTAAAAAACCACCTTCTCAGTTCTTTTACCATAAGGTAAGTAGATTCCCTGGTAGGCCTGAAATTCTATGAGTTATTTTTCATTTTTGTCTGAATACTTAGAAAACCTCTCTAGATTTGCTTATTTTTTGAGCCACCGCTAGAAGATGTCATGACTTCTCCACCACTTAAATGGCCTCTTCTTCCATGGTAACTGACAATATCATTGGTGCTTCTTATTGTAGGCAATACTTTGTCAAATTATTTCCCTTGTTACCTGTGCATTTTATGTATTATTCTGAGAAGGGGTCCTTAGATTCACCAGGGTGCCAAAGGTACTCCTGACACACTCCTGTTCTAGACTGATATCAAGAGAAATGTTTGTGTTTCATGTTAGTAGGAAGGGTGTCAACATATATGGTGAAGGAAATGTTAGTTTTGCAGTTATGATGTCCAGAAAATAGGCAAAGTATGGTTATTTTCAGAAAAATTTAAACAAACAAAAAACCCTTCAAAAATGTACCTTTTCATTTATGTAAAATGTTTTACATGTCTGAGGCTCTTAAATTAAATTTTTTTCATCTTTATTTCCAAACTAAAACTATTATGTGTAAAATTCTGTTGGGTTAAGGAGGCTAGGGGAGATATCTGGCTTACACTCCTCAGTTTTGCCCCTGGAGCAAATGAAAATAAGGAAAAAATATTTTTTGACATCTGATAATCATTATTAAGCCGGCTGCAGTTGAACAATAATAAATATAATTTTCCGCTAGCTTTTTAGACAACTTAGGGACTGCCATCTACAGTAATGGAGGGAATACATTTCTCCTCTGAGGTCACGGACCCGTTGAAGAGAAATGAGGACATAGTCAATAGTACACATTTATTAAGTGCTCATTATGTATCAGACACTATGCTAAGTGTTGGGGATACAAATATGAAAAAAAGAAAGACGAGTCCTGCCCTCAAGGAGGTTATACTTTACTGGGGGAAGGCAATGCACAGATGGAAGCTGAAAAGGGTAGGGGTTAGGGAAGTACCCAGTGGTGGTGGTAGGGCTGGGGAGGATGGTGGAAAAGTAAAGTAGTGCAGCCAGGTGAGAAATGAGGCAACGTCTAATTGAGCTGTCTCCATAAATGGAAGCTTTGGAGTTCATGGCTCCACTCTTCAGTCAGGGACAGAGGATGGTGGTGGTGAGGTAGAGTATCAACACTGATGAAATCTTGCAGGATGATGAGGTTTTCCCAATAATGAGCTTACTGGGGCATGGGAGAGAAGATTTCATAGGAGATATATCTCTTATAGATATATAGATAGCTATCAAAAAGTGACCAACTTAATATCATTAATTCCAGAAAAGATTCATGTAGATTGGTACAGAAATTCCATACTTGGTTGTTACTGTTATACTAGGTAAAACAACTTTGATTTTGATTTAATTTTTTAAAAGCTGCTATTTCTGTTTAAACATAAAACTTTTAAGGGATAAGCTATATAAAGTGGCAGATAACAGAATTGAACAAAATAGTTGGGGGCTTTTTATTATTATTACAGGTGTGTAATATTTAAAGTAATAAAAGGAGGGGAAGGCTTTGTGCCCTGAGGCCTTATTCATTTGAGAAAATTCACCCACTATTTTTGTGAAGGTGGAACCTTGCAAATAGAAATGGATGTTGTTACTTCTTTAATGTCTGTTAAGAGCCATGTGTATTGAATTTCATTAATATTGATTTAATAATGCTTTGCTATTTAATTAAAAGCAAGAACTTTTAATTATCTTGTAATCTATCACGCGTAAGTCATTCTGTATTCACTGCAAGACAAAGACCTCCTTAGTTTTGCTCATATTCATTAAGGTGATAGGTTTATCCTTTTTTTTTTTTTTTACATAATTGATCATTTTAGTTTGAGGAAGGTTAGTATAGCATTGTTAAAAGACAAAAAATAAGATCAGACTTACATGACCTTATGATGAAGATTTTACCTGCGAGGGACTGTCAATTTTGATTATACTATTCAAACATTAATTTTTCATCAACTTTCTTATTTACTAATTATATAGCTACTAATAAAAAATGAGGCCCTCATTGTACATATTGTACTTGCCTGGTTTTAATAATAGATAATTATAAGACTCATAATTAACCAATGTGTCTAACTGGAGCCTCAGAAGCCTAGTATATTTTGTATAATCAAAGTATTTGCTACAATTGACCATAATACTTAAATGTGTAATATTTAAGTATTATGATACTCCGTGTTTTCATAGTGTGGATATTGCCTCCACTGCAGATTGTAATCTACACCTTAGTAGAGAATTACAGGAGTTTATAGATTTGGAGGTAGAAGTTAACCTTAGAGATCAGCTAGTCTAAATCCATTATTTTACTGATGAGAAAACTAAGACCAGAGAAGAGCAGTGATTTGTCCCAAGTCACCTACATAACAAATGTTAGAATTGCTGTGATTAAAAGAAAAAAAAACTTGGTGGTCAAAAATTATTGGCTTCTTTTAACTTAACTAGGTTCAGAGATAAAATACAGGTAAATATTAGGATAATAACCAATGTCTTTCCAGTCTTGTTAGCAGGATAGCTAGAGATTATACCCTGCTGGCACAGCCATATCAAAGCATTGGAGGATTGACTGTAATTATAGGCTTCAATGATCATCATAGTAGCACACTTATAGACAGTTACAAAGCACTTAATGTGAATTATTTCATTTACTTCTCAAAACAAGCTTGTTGGTAGTCAGTACAAGAATCATTACCCCCATTTTGCAGATGTTGGCCTTCAGAGTATTTAGATGATATGCCCAACGTCACACAGCTAATAAGTGGCAAGGCAATATTTTAACCCCGATCACTTGACTCCACATTAGGTGAATTATCTGTTATTTCCTGAAAGCTCAGTATAACAATACCCACTACAATTTGAAACTTCTTTCAACACAGATACTTTAATTATAACACATATATTTAAGGCCACAGATTTGGCCTTATCCCATTACTACTGGTACCAGGAAGACCTTGTTGGAACATGGTGTCACTTCTGATAGTATCCCTTAGCTTTAATTCCAAAAATGGCATTATAGTGAAATTATAGTGCATTTGATACCTGAAGTGAATATACAAAATATATATGTGTATGTGTACATATACCTCAACATTTCAAAGAAGCATCATTTCACTAGTGTATGTATTCCCTACAATGATATAGGTCACAATACCTTTACAACTTAGTAGATGGTCTTCAGAAGCTGCTATGGTCAAAACAATTCGTCAACCAGTATCAGTCTGGTTGTGAGCTTCTCCATGTTTAGCGTAACTGGTCTTCAAATGGCAGACATTTAGTATGACTAAGCCTTTATTTATTGCCTTTCCAGATTGTTAGAAACTGCCAGGGGTTGCAGACTGCCCAAAGAGCTTTCAGCAACTTAGGGTCAACTCCTTGAGGCATTAGACTAAGAATATGTGTGTGTGTGTGTGTGTGTGTGTGTGTGTGTGTGTGTGTGTGTGTGTATGGGATTATGAGAAGACATGGACCAGAATTACTCAGGATAAGAAAATGTGGATAGGTTACAACTTTTAGAAGGAGTACCTACTTCAATGATATTATAGTGTCAAAATATACCTATGTATGTAATTGATTTATCTTGTATGTATCTTGTTTGGGCATAGTTGTTTGAATGAACATTCAAACATATTATACTATGAGCTTCTTGAGAGCAGATATTGAGGGGTTTTGGATTATTTGCATTTTTTATGTCCTCAAGCACTTAGCAAAGTGCCAAGCACCTAGTAGGTGTGTAATGAATGTTAGTTGACTGATTGAGTGATTTTATCCATAAGAAAATTTCTACCCCATCTGGTACATCTTGACACTTAACATGCTTTAGATCTAATTTCTTTCCCCATCAGAAGGATATGTTTAGAGATTTCAGGCTAATTATAGTATTCAAAGTAACAAAGTAAAAATTCAGAACATAATGAAATCTAAAGGTAAAGAGAAAGAGTTTTTTATCATTGATTATTTCAAATTCTCAAAAGTATGGCTTCTCCTCCCTTACTTAGCACAGATAATTGAAAGGTCTATAGAATGTTAGTCCATGCCATCATTTGATGACTAATTAGGATTTTCTTATCTTGAAGTTAATTCTTTTTGGGGGATAAAATACTTAAATATCAGCTTTCAAGATAAAAATGTGTTTAAACGTGATGCTTAGAAATAAATTTTAAAAAGTTGAAAACTTCAGATGTATTAAATTTCTTCCTTCAAAATGGCATCTACTAGTAACATGCATGTACTTGATATATTTAGAACTCTCAGATTTATTCTAAAATTCTCTAAAACCTTTAACCTTTTGTAATTTTTAATATAGCATGAAAGACAGCTACCAGAAATTGCTTAAGGATATTTTCATTACTTTTTTTTTCATATCTCAGAACTAGACTTCAAAAGTAATTAGATTTTTTTTTAAAGTCTCACTATTTCAAAAGGTTTTAGGGCCTACATAGAATGAAATAAAATGAAGTTGCAGTAGGGAAAAATGAGTGAAAAATTATTTAGATAGAGTTACAATTTTAAAGATTCTCTAGCAGTTGCTTTCCCCAAATTGGCCTCAATTTGGATCATAAGAGAAGAAAACTGGAGGAAGAAATTTTATGAGTCTGGAGTAGTTATATACAAAACCAAATATGAAAAAAACCCTTACAAAACCTGGTCACTGTCTCCAATTAAGTATCATGCTGTTCCACTGGGAGATGGAGATTTCTCTAGGTTCTCAACAGCTCCTTAGAGGCTGGTCCACAGTTACATGAGCTCTGTTAAGTCTAACTATACTAGACAGGCTTCAAACCCTGACCTGGTAATGGAATGTACCTGAGAGCCCGTGGCCACTGTGATTAAACTATGATTATTATTATTATTATTTTTTGCTATAGCAACTCATGAAGACAATCACTAAGCTATAGAGAAGTTATAATCTGTGTCAGAGGAAGGTGTGCACTTTCAATTTTGACAAAATCATTGGTCTTTAAAAACACTTTTTAAGAATGGAAGTCTTACAGTGGGATTGGAATGGAGTATTATGGCTGAGATGACATTTATTTCTTTAAAAATGTCAACTTTTGCAAAAAGAACTCATTTAAAATAGTAAGCATTTAATGAAAAATATTTGATGATACACAACATGTTATTTTTCATGCTTTGAAACTGATATCTTTTTTAACAATAAATTTAAACAATAAAATTATCATTTATTTTTTTTAGCAAGATTTACTGAAAAATAAACAAAATCAAGAAGAAATGATCCTGGAGTTCCTTTTGGATGTCTCCAGTCAGTGTGGAGTTTCATTCCCGTGTACCCCAAGTGGAACATCTTTCCTATTCACGTCTAGAGCTTCTCTACATGCAGTTGAAGATCACTCATCTATGGATGTAAAGTCTCTTTGGGATGACATCAGATTGCATCTTCGACGCTTCTTACTGAGCAAATTACAAAGTCATAATAAAATAAACAATGCACCACACACTATCTCATTTAAAACTCACTGCATTCGACAGCTTTTGTTTCTTTATCCAGAGTCAGAAGTTTTAGCCAAGTACCAAAGCCTACAGAATAAATTGGTTATGCAACTCCTAGAGAATTGTTTTTTGTCTTACAACAGAGAAGCAAATTTAGACACACTGATACATGGATACCAAAATTCAATACTTAAATTATGCAAAATGATCAAACAAGATTTTTATGTACTAAGTGAAATTTCAGCTCCTTCTTCAGCACTAAAGTTCATTAACGAAACTTACCTGGATTCCATTAAGGAAGAAATGACAAATTTTCTGGAAAGATTTTGTGAACTGCAATTCAAAGAAAATGCTGTCCACATGGTTAAAACAGGCAAGAGTTCCAGCAAACATAGAGGAGCAGTGCATGCTTTGGGTTCGTACCATTTTAAATTTTGCTCATTATATTTAGTCTTTCTTTAATTCGTACCTTTTCTGTATTCTTAATATTTTACTAATCTCATGAAGACTCAAAAATAAGTCAGAGTTCAGTTTTGCAACACTTTACACATTTGTATTTCTTCCTTTGACTGAAAATCTAATGAGACTATGGAAATGTAGTGGTTTTTCCCATTATTGAATTATTAAAGACTTTGGAAATGTAAGCCAAATGTATAACCAATGAGAGTATTTTCTTACGATTATCCATGAAAAATTGTCTGGTTTACAACTGTCTTATACATATATACTTAAACCCTGAAATTTTAATTTTTGTATAATACTAGACATGAAGATAAATTATTGAAAACAGCATACAATGTCAGTCTTCCCCAGACTTTCTTCGAATTAACTAAAGTTAAAAGTTTTAAAATTACATATGTTAGACAAATGTACTAAGTAAATTTAATTAGAGAAGTCATGAATTTCATATAGCTGGGCAGCTATAGTATGTGTATCATTATTTATAAATTCCTACCAATACTGCTTTCTAGCAAAAGTTGATACAAGTAGAACAATAAGCAGTTTCAGAATTTTACTCAGAAGACATTAGTCTAAAAGTAAGTACTTGCTGTAAAGCACATTCTGTCCTTTCATGATAGGTAGTTTTATTAACATCCCACTGATGAAGGAATACAGGAGGAAAATACAATTTTTTTTTCCTATTTGTCAAATCTTTATTGGGTAAGTGGGGAAGGTTGACAGGGTCCAGCTTAGTCTTTCTTGGCAGCAGCCTTCCTCATGGCAGCTAGGACTTTGCTGAGCTCCTCTCTCTTCCTCTTGGCCTGGATGTGAGTTCCCACCCTTTTTTTGATGAACTTAAGGGCTCGCTTATCCTTGGAGACCTTTAACAATTCCACGGCCTGCCTCTCATAAGGGGCAAATCCACACACCTCCCGGATCATATCTCTCACAAACTTGGTGTATTTGGTCAAGCACCCATGGCGGAGGCAGTGTTGCAGCTTCAAAACGTTTTTGGTAACTTTGTGGCCCTTGTTGAGGCCTACGGCCATGGGGTATCGGATGGCCATGGCTGCGGCTGCCATAGGCCCAAAGGCAGCCACCAGAAGGCGAAAATGCAATTTTTCTTAAAAATGAAAATGAAAAATTAACTTGTTCAGTAACATGTTTAGTGAAAAAATTCAGGTATATTTGAAGATAATGTTCATAAAAACTATTTTTCATTCAGTCTTTGAAACATAGACTGTAAAAAGGATGAGCCAGATTTTCTCAAATATTTGTTTTTTCCTTCCTTCTAGAGAAGGAACATAACTCTTTCAAGTCAACGGGACAGTTATCTGTACTTTGCTTTTTAAAGGCAACATCGTGACATAGAATTAACTTAGGTCTGGAAGGGACATCAGAGTTCACTCTGACTGAGAGCTGGACCTTATAGAGCTTATGTAACTCTGGACCAACCTCAAAGGAGCTGTTGAGAACCTAGGGAAATATCTCTCTCCCAGAGGAACATTCAGTGGTGAATTCATCTATGAAGATAAATGAAAACATTTAATTATAACAAATTTTAATTGAGAATATTTCCTTTCTATACAGAAGAGGCACTTGATGCTTGATACAAGAGACACAAATATGCTTGATAGGCATATTTGAAAAATTCAAAAAAATTTTAAAATATCATTTACTAAGCACTTGCTCTGTCCTTGACACTGTTGTAGCTCCTATGAGAAGAGGTTAAATGTTTACAGACCGTCCCAAAATTCTTAGTATTATTTTAAGCTTTAATATCTGTCCCTGTCCTCCTGCAGCTTGCTGCCTTATGATAAGCCTATTGTAAAAGACTTCTGTAAAGATCTTGTCTAGTTGCAGAGATCTGTTAGGGATAACCAAACCTTCACATGTTTAAAGAAAAAAAATTATTGAAAAGGTTGACAATTTTGGTATTATACTTAGGTATTCTCATTGTTTATAGGAGGAGGCCTTTAACTTTTTTTGTGTCATGGTCACTTTAGCAGACTAGGTGAAACCTATGGATCCTTTCTTAGAATAAATTTTTATATGCTTAAATTACATAAGTTTACAAAGAAAAACTCTTACATTGAAGTGCAGTTATCCAAAAAAAATTTTTTTTTGATTGGGCAGGGAGGGTTAAATGACTTGCCCAGTGTCACACAGCTAGTAAGTGTTATGTGTCTGAGGCCAGATTTGAACTCAGGTCCTCCTGAATCCAGGGCCGGTGCTCTATCTACTCCAAAAAAATTTTTTTTAAAAAGTTCACAGTCCTCAGATTAAGAACTATGGTTTAGAGAAATTAGTTTCAATCTGGGTCCAAAAAAATCTCATGATTTTACATTGTAATGTGGAATTTAAAACAAGTATAGTAATGGAAGAAATATTTAATATTAAATATTAAATTCCATCTGCCCAGTTAACCCTGGGGCTTACCCCAACATTATCCCAGAAGCTGAGCATACAGAGCCAGAAAACAATACTGGAAGATTCCAAGATTTCATGAATTTTGTAAATCTTTCATTAGGTGGATCTTGTATCATCCACTGAGTCATTACTTTAATCTTGAAAGAGTGCTGCTTATTCTAATTTTATTTCCTTAACATTATTACAGATACTGTTACAGTTGAATTTTCAAATAATTAGTTTTTGTTCGTATGTGAATTTCTTTTGCTTTCCTAGGGTAACTCTGCATCTTGTTATGAAATGGTTATGCATCAGCACAATTTCTGGTTTTTGTACATTTTATGTTGTTATAAGTTATAGCATATTGTTGCAGAGTCATTTAAATTAGGACTATCAGAATGCAGTTTAAAAGCAGAGACTTTTACCTTAACTGCTGAAGTATAAATCTTTAAATGCATTTCCTAAGTGCACTTATTTTCTAAAATTTTTATGTACAGTACTTTGAAAAACTCCCTCTTGTTTGTAAAGTGTTTTCAAGAAGAAAGTGTTACATGTGTTAAATATCATGTATAATATAAGACAAGATCCATGTGGTTGGAATATATACAGGTTTTATGGCATTTCAGGGCTGATGTTGATTTCTTTTCTGTTGATAATGTTTCTAGTTTCTGCGTAGTGAATGTGGCTGCCACACCATAGCTAAAGGGAGCTGTAGAAAGGAAAGGCAACTGTGGACCCTTTCTTGGTGTAGAGTTGGATTTGATTGATGGACTAATAAGGAATACTAAGGAAGTCACAGAAAAGGGAGAAATGGTGACAGCCACGTTGATTTCTGTGCAGCACATTCAAGGACCCTCGAAGAATTGATCTTTCCCCCAAAATGCAGTGCTGCTTCAAGGACAGTTTAGTGATCCAGATGTGGAGGCCAGTGACCTGAATTAGGGACTTCTAACTGCTGGCAGAGAGGGAGCTAACAGAGGAATGCTGGTGAGCATGGAGGGGGCCTCTTGGGCTTAGATGAAAGGGTCAAGTTCAAAACAGATCTTAGGCTAGAATGTTGTATCAGATCTAGAAGACTGAATAAAATATCTTCATCCAGAGTTCTATTTCATTGCCTCATCATAGTGAGGAGTTGACTGTATTCGTAAAGGACTAAACCAATAGAGTGAATACCCATAACAGATTCTGACAAGGAAAGGCTTCAAGTATAGTCTTAGAAACATACAGTCTCTTGAGATCTTTTGTTCTTCCAAGTGAGTTTTGTTATTATTTTATCTAGCTCTGTAAAGCTTGATAGTTTCATTGGTATACTCTTAAATCTCTAAATTAACTTTGGTAGTATTATCAGTGTTATTATACTGTATTGTCCCAGTCCAGCAATGAATGTTAAATATTCCTCCAGCTATTTAAGTTGTTCCTTATTTATTTAAGGAGTGTTTTGTAATTTAATTTATGGAATGTGCTTTGGTAGAATGACTTCCAAAATTTAGTGCAATTTATAGTTATTCTGAATGAGATTTCCCTTTCTGTTATTGTCTCCTAGATTTTATTGTTGTTACATAGAATTGCTGCTGATTTTTATGGGCTTATTTTGTAGCCTACAACTTTGCTGAAGTTATTAGTTGTCTCAATTAGTTTCTGAAAGTAAACCATGCTGTTAGCAAATAGGGATAGATTTGTCTACTCTTTGCCCATCTTTGTCTTTAATTTCTTTCTCTACTCTTATTGCTATTACTAATATTTATAGAACCATAATATATAAAAATGGGAAAAGAGGCATCTTTGCTTTACTCTTACATTTATCAAGAAAGCTTATGGTATCATTGTATGTAATGCTTTCTTTTGCTTATATATATAATATAATATGATATAATATACTATATATATATACTTATTAAAATAAAAGATCCCTCTTTGTCTATGTTTTATAGTTAATTTTAAAAAAGGTCAATGATTTTTCTGCATCTATTGTGATAATCTTGTGGTTTTAGAAATTTTTGTTTTTAATATAATTAATTATGTTGATTCCTCTCCCCTACCATGTTGAACCATGTTTTCAACTCCATCATTAAATCTAACTTGATTATAATGGGTGATTTTTGGATACATTGTTATAGTCTGTTTGCCCAAGATTTTATTTTAAAATTTTAAATTGTTATTTATTTATTGATGATATTGGTCTATGGTTCTCCTACATTTTTATCCTTCCCTGATTTAGGAATTAGGACTATATTTTTTATATAAGAGGAGTATGGTAATGTTTTTTCTCTCATTTTTTTGAGAACAATTTGTGCAGCTTAAGTATTGATTATTCCTCAAGCTTTCTATAGAATTCTCTTGTAAATCCATTGGGACCAGGAGTTGTTGGTTTTTTCTGTTCTTTCACACTTTGGAAGTTCCTTTAAAATTAGTTTTATTTCCTTTTCTGAGATTTGAATATTTAAGATCTCTATATAGTATTCTGTTTATTTGGGATCCTTGTGTTTTTCAGCCAGTTATTTCTTTTAGTTTCTTAATTTTGTTAACATATAATTGTGCATAGATGATTTTGATAATTATTTTAAA